TAATAAAGTGTGAGATGTATGTAGAGAAGATACTATATGAAATATAGGTGATAGCTCAGGCAGGGTAACTTGAAGGCAAAATAAAACCTTATTGTGATTGGGTTGCCAAAACAATCTGTAGTTTGAGAACATTGCAGACTTGGATACCACAACTTTCTTCAATCCTGGTTCATAACCAAACCTATCAATTCCTGTGGTGTGGAGTGAGTGAGAGATTTTGAACTCACAGAGTAGTCAGACAAATCTTCTTGGCTTATATGGACAAAGATTGCCAACCAGACCCAATGTGCTGTGACATCATGCTGAAATTGATAAACATACTGATTCCTCTATCTGGCTTGCTACTTATTTGCCCCTGCTTACTAATTTGTATCCCCCCTGCTACTTTTGCATGTTGTGCAATATGTGCTACCCTACCATTGGCATCTTTGTTTCTGTGTCACCACCAACTCTTCCCTACTTCCTTGTTGCTTCTGTCCTCGTGGGCATACTGGTAGGTACTGCCACTAATATTGATTTGAGACTTGAATCTGTTTTTGTGGTCCTATGATCTCTTCACATCCTTCCAGTTGAAATGTGCTAATTTTGCTTTTCCCTCCCAACCTACCTGACCATAAGCCTTGTGTCTTGGGGGTTTTACAGCCTTTGTAATAGATTATCAAGAATTTGGAAGAGCTACTGAATATCATGTTAATTGATCAGGTTCTTGGTTGGATTGTTGAAGCAATTATCATTTTTATAAGGTGAGACATTGGATACCAATTTTGCACTCCCCTTGACTCTAAACTGAAAGTGACACAGACACAGGTTTTTCTTGACTTGCCTGGTTCGATGTCTTTCATGGACTTAAAGCTGAAGTTTTCTTGAAAAATCAAATCAGCAGTCCAAAACATCATGGATAGAGTTTTTTCAAAAAAGTGTGGCTTTGTATCAAAGCTCAGATTGGATTGTCAGGAAACCCATCCCAGATAGTACTTGCATTGGCTGATAACATCATACATCAATTACACATAACGGGAGCACGGGCTGTGAATCTATGCTTGCCCTGATGTAATAACCAACCAGTTGAGGCTTTAGTAGCATTATGCTAATAGTGTGTAATAGATATTTTTACCTTATAATATACATTAATCTTAACTCAATTTTATATGGTACTCATAGCTTTAGGGGGTTCCAGCATTTGTACTTGCTCCTCACACTGCAATATAGTTAGTAGTATCAGAACCTCGTCTGCCCTCACATTCTATCCACCGCGCCACCCTGGTCATAACACCTGAAGTCTTTGGGTGGCCTGGTTCCGTTGAAAGACCCAAAATACAGCCAAAGAGCTTGTCATTTTTTTCCATCAAATTATCACTTGGCCGGGATCTCATATTACAAAACACAGCAACTAAAGTCCACATGCCAAGGAATCTCAATCAATAGTGGGTCTCAAACCTGACCCAGTGTCAAAAAACGCAGTTGACCCAGTTGATGTTTTGGCGGTAACCAAGGGTAACTGGATGTACCGGGTCAAGCGTTCAGGTGTGTCAGCCAGGGCATAAGTTAGCTAAGTAACTTATCTCCTGGCTAAAGTAGTAACAAGTTCATAACAGACGTATAACAATCTATTATCTATTATTCATCTTTATTCTTAACTCAAGTCTTTTTTCAGCTTATTCTCAATTTCTATTTCAAATCTGTCTGATGTCTATTCTCTTCCTTTTGATACTCTCATTTTCTCTTTTTCTTAGAGCATTGCCACCAGGACGTGCAAAATCCTGAATACAGGCTGTTTTCACGTCTTGTGGGAAAATATTCCAGCCACTGAACCGTGGAAACAGCCTGTATGGGTTACACGACGTCCAAATCTTGACCGAGAGAGTACAATTTTGGACGGCGTACAAAAAGGCAAAGATCACCAAAATGTGAAATATTGTTTGACCTTACCTGTCATTTTGGACAAGACAAACAATCCTATGCTTGGATCAAAGGCATATACTGATCTCACATGCCAGTTTTTACACGGCCACGGTTTTGCCTACCTCCGCGCAAATCTGGCATACAGGCCGAGACCTGTCAAAAGGTTGGCGTACAGAGTACTTTTTTACACACCAGCGGTGGAGATGCTCTTAGAAGTTAAATACTAATCATATAATTCAAGGAAATCAATGGTTGATCTGAAATAACTAATACGGTATTGAACTCCTGAAGGATGTAATACTCTCAGTTGCGGGAAATCAAATGGATTGGGAACCCATTACAAGAACACCTAGTAGTCATCTAAAACCAAAACCGTATTAACATGTGGGACCTGTTAAACCGGGTAGGTCTGAGAACACTTACATCTGGATGGGGGGATTACCTAATTGGTTTAGGGGATGACAACTTGGCGAGGAAACTTGGGATATTGGGTCTATTTGATAACCATTATGTATTATGGTATTATGGAAGTCCGGAAGGCCTAGAGCTATGGAGTCATTATTCCCAAATGTCTTGTGTGCACGCTACAGTTTGAAATGGGTATAAAAGCCCTCTTGTTTTTCTTGTTTTATTGTTCTTCTTCATTCTTAATCTAATATTGTACAATCAAAACACTTAGTTTTATTAGCCTTACAAGCTCAAACCCGCGTCCATATCATTCCGCCTACTGTTAAATCCTCATTTGAACCTATATTTGGTTAGTAATAGCTATGTGCTGTGCTTGAAGTCTTACAGCTGTTTCAAAAATAAAACTGGCTGTTGTTGTTTTTGATTTTTTTTCTTTTCATATCCGCGGTTTTAATCTTGCAGGAAAGGTCAAATCTGGAGGACTGAACACAGATCTTGATGCCAACGTTTGAGCAGGCTTGACCTCATCTGCTCCCAATCCAGATAAATAACCCACTTGAGTAAAACAGATTAACCACGGATATGAAAAGAATTTTTTTTGAAAACAACAACAGCCAGTTTCATTTTTGAAACAGCTGTACATTCTTCTATTCTCTTTTGATACGCAGAACATTGAGAACCATTGAGGTTTGCCTGACTTCCTCACTATTTTACGAGGTAGTCAGCGTACTTGTTGACAAGGTGTCGGACCCAAATGCCCACTTCCTTGACCCAACTCCACATCTCACACTCTTTCCCCTCTTCAGATACCATAGTCAACCCGGCGTAGCAATGTATTTGTCTACTTGAAAGTTGTTTTTGGCACTTCAGGTTGCCTCACTGGCAAACCAGAACAGTAACTTTTGCACTGAGTCAAATCTGAAGAGCAGGTGGTGAGGTTTTCTTTACTGCATGTACCCATTTGACCCAGTGTAAAAGTTCCAGTGTAAAAGTTAACTGGGGCAACTGGGTCAGTTCTGAGACCCACAAATGTTTCTCTTCATATACCTATCACAAAACATGTCAAAGACTCTAGGCTTATCTGAATCCCTCATCAATCACAGTTTATCTTAGAAGAATGGCAGTTTAGTGATTCAGTCAATCTTATTTCATCAGACTTTCCTCATCCCATGCCACTTTTTCAGTGAAATATAAAAACATGATATCTCTTCACATGTTGTTTTGCAGATACTCTGCTCTTCTGGAGTGATTTCTGCATTTTTCAATCACCTCCAGCAGGATGAGCATCAAGGCATATCAAACACGGGGCTTTTGCAAACTCAACAAAGTCCCTCACAGGCAGTAGCACCCAAAGCCTGCGTAGGGACTTACGCCAAATGTGCCTTTTGTGGCGTGAGCAGTAGTCAAGGTTGGCAGGGGAAAAATGGACTTGTTGAAAAACATTTGCTACACAAAAGCTTCTGGATTTTACTTTTGAGCAATCAAGGTTCTGCTTGTTCTAAGCAGGACGCTCAAATTGGTTCCTTCACACTTTGCACTGTTCTCAAGATATGATTGATGTCCAAAAAGCTTATCTTCAAATTTCAAAAATCCAAAGAGGGAGATGATGTTAGTTTACACCAAGCCACAATTTTGTATGTAAAATTTGAAAAGACACAATTTTGACAGCAATGAAAACTTGCGCATGGCTCAAGTTATCAATGTCTGAATACATAGAGGGTATTGCCCGCGAGAAGAGGGACTTTGATTCCTTAAGAGGAAAATGGAAAACATATTGTGGAGCAAATATTTATAATTGGGCCCATTTTTCCCCTACTAAACTCAACAACCTCTCACGCCAGGAAGCCCACATTACATGTAAGTCCCTACGCAGGCTTTGGGTGCTACCGCCTGCAAAGGACGTTGTTAAGTTCGGGGCTTTTGGCAGATGCCAGACCTGGGTTAACTCAAACTCCTCTTGTGACCTCAAAAAAGATTTCATCCATCAGATTAGCTGTAGGAATTTGAGAGAAGTAACTAAATTGATTGAACAGTGGATAATTTATGATCAGAGGTTTTGACTGGGCCTGAGTTGTTGACATTTTGCCAGCCTTGCTCATATTGGATACCACCAAGACCTTTGATTTTGACACCTCTCTTAAGACTTGATTGATATGTCCTTGAAACTTCAAGAGTGTGCTGATTTCAAAAATCACAATACAACATCGATTTCACTGAAGCGGCGGAGGTTCACACGGTGTGAACCAAGCGATGTATGTATCTCAACGTACACGCGGTGAATCAACTTATTTTCCTCTCCGTCAACAGAACGAAATTTTGTGTAGTCGGTCATGGTGATACAAATCCTTACAAATCCCTTTACCGATGCTCGATTTTCCGGATTGAAGAGCCTTAATTTATTTGATACCTATCCTGTGTTGTAATTTGATCTGGCTTACTTGGCGATAAACCCAGTCTTACCCTCGGCACGAGTGAATCGGTCAAGGATGTTCAAGATTCAATTTGCATGATGGACACATCTGCGAAACTATGTACCTGACCGATCACCAGATGCTCAGCAAGAGCCTGGGCTCCCAGACGCTCAGCAAGAGCCTGGGCTCGCTACCTCAATCTGATATGGGTGACTTGAGTGGTAATCAAGCCTATTGTTGCAGAAATTTCGCACCCTGTTCTTTTCCATTTGGCAGGAATATTGCCATGCGAATCTAGCGCATACTGTGTCATACGCCGGAAATAACATCTGGTCATCAAGTTAGCGACATAGTTCACTGATCCTTTTGTGACGACCAAAGGTTCTTCACGATTTTTTTTGTTCCGGTGGTCCATTTAACGAAGACATGACAGACCGGCAAGAATGTACAGCTTGAAAAGAAACAACACCACCGCGCCCGCAAAAGATGGGTATTCGATCAAGGCCTGACTTTTCAATCGACAAATCAGACTGGAAATTACCGGTCCAACTCTCCAAGATAGGCGATAATCCGCCAATCCATTGTGAGGTATGAAGATTGTGGCATCGGCCTTGATTTACGCGTCAAAAGTTATCAAGACTGACGGATGCTTCTCATTTAGACTCGACAAGAACTTTGTGAAACTTTGCCTTATTTCCGGTCTTTTCAAGGTATCATATTTCCTCATTGTTGTTTGAAGAAATACATTGATCGTTTAGCCTGTAACCCAGGGGGCCACTACACATGCAAGGGAAGGACCATCTCGTACCTATTAGATGGGACACCTTCCCCGCGTGATGTTTTCGAAGATCAAGGCAGGATAATCATAAGCCATGGGTGAGTCTGAAGGTAGATTTTCTCCCTAGTTATAAAGGCTGATTATTTTGTTTTCAGTGGAGGTGGCTCGAAAATTATGACTGGAAACGAAATTGCACAGCAGTCTTTGCATACAGATAATTCTACGAAGAGTAGCCACAAGAAAAGACTAGTTTTCTGCAAGTCCCAAAGCAGAACTGGCTTCCGAGTCCAAAGCTTGATGAATTGTATGAATCATGACATCCCGGTGGTCTTGCTGGTACGTCAACCTCTTGATTTTGTGAGATCTCCCTACACTTGATGACCCTTATATTCGTCAATCAGGCAGGTAAGAAATACTCAATGATGCCTTGGCTAAAGGAGAGAGACGACATCGGGTATGTTGTCCTCGGTCATTACCTTGTGACGCACTCTTGGGTGAGCTTCCTATTTCGCTTGGATATTTGACAAAAACAATTTACGGATTTTTACTACAACTCAAGGCCGAGAAAGAAATTGATTCAGACTTTCCGGGACGGACTTGCGTGCGTATGAAGTGTAAGCGCATGATGTTTTCCTTCGTCATCCCCAGACACCTTCCGTAAAGTGTTGCCTGAACTGTCTTGTGTTATTTTCGTTGAAATCAGTCCGCTTTCAATGGATTTCATCCCAGGGTGATCCCTGGTGGTTATGCGACATCGAAAGATACGAAAGAAATGTGATGGTCGCACTAGAAGATGCACGAATAGTTTTGAATGACCAGTTTGCTGGGACAGAATCTTCAGAGATACCGGGCTCCCAGGCTGATTTGGAAATAGATCAAGCCGAAGGAATGGAACCTCTGACGATGTGCTTCTCATTGGAATTGAGGCCTCACAATTCCAAGTATCTTGATGATGAAAAAGGGGCTGAGATACTTACATCATCAGGATCGTTGGAGGATATGAGTACGGAAGAATTATTAGCTCTTCCGCCGCCACATGTAGACGAACTTGTAACTTCAGCTTCACATCTCCAAGTCAAGATATCAAAATCCATGAGTCGCGTTCTGCACGATATTTGGGCAACTTCTGAATTGCAGGACCCGTCCTCGCGGTCGGTCTACGAGGTATTAGTACTTGACGCTTTTCGGAACGCAATCGCACGGGCCGGAATATCTCTCTGCGTGAACATACCGGAAGAGATCCAGATACGCGACATCGCCTTTGTACTTAGTTCTCACATAGATCACGCCTTGAATCACGATCATCACATGTTGGATCGTTCGAAAAGCTTCATCAACCCTCAAAGTCAAAACTTAACCACTTTATTGCAGTCAAGTTTTGCACTTGTCGCCAACCACAAAGCGGTCATAGCTCGATATTCGCCACCCGAGACGCTGCTTCATAATTGGTTTTGCTCTTCAAAAAACTTTCGTAGGATTTATTTTGATATTCTGGTTCTGCCTAGCTCGATCGCACCTGAGCATCTCTTTTCAGGAGTCGAAGGAGAAGGGAGAGCAGGTAAATTGACAGCGACTCTGCAGGTAGATCCTATCCACAGGATATGTACAGTATGTGGAATTAACAGCCCACATCTCTACCTTCAAGGGTGGCTTTGCTTGAATGAAAGCTGTCAAAACTTTTTTCAAAGTCAAGACTCATATATCGGAAGCAACGGCGAAGGCCTTACTTACATGCCTTGGGTACTCAAGTTCCAGCCGGGTCTCGAAAAGGAAGAGAGGGTACCTCAGCAACTTCAACCACCTAGCATTCAGTCTTTGGGAGAGAAAGAGACCTCTAGAACTCTCAATGAAGATATGCGTCGCGGGATTTACTGTTCAGACTGCGGAAGGATGTCTTGTCGTATATACTGGGGCGCACTACGTTGTAATAACGTAGCTTGCCATGTCAGTCTGTGTTATGCTATCTGAAATCAGAAATAAGTGGAGAAAACTGCTAAATGATCATGTGCTGTTGACTATTTTTTCCAGTTCGAGGTCAACCTTCGTGTAAACCATATATACTGGGGCTTTGACCTACCTCAAACCTGTCAAAATATATCCAAAACCTCGTTTTCTGAGGCTTATTTTAAAGTCCTCCCAATCTTTTCGATTTCCACTTTCACGGTACATGTATATCGAGTTCTTGATGGGTCAGGATACATTGTTCATGCTGTGTATGATCCCGACGATAGCGGAAGTCAAACTGTCTCGGACGTAGATGAGATATTTCATAGCTATCAAAAAGAGATCAAACCTAAAGAATTCAAGAGGAACACGTTCAGGCGCACTTACTTAGGTAAGCCTGGCTTCATTAGACACAAATAATGTATCTGGCTGACTACCCTGAATGTATGCCGCTCGACTTCATGTAGCTCACGCAAGGTTGGCGCAGCAGTTTACGTGAGTTTTGGTCACACGTTACATCCAACAAATTGCTTACGCCTGATCACGATCATCCGAATCACACAGATTAAATTGTGGGATGAGCTACAAATTTTGCGCAGGCTAGTAATGGCCCTCCGAAGTCTTATATGTCTTGTAACTTTCTTTTCACAGTCTCCAGAATACTGACCTGTTGGTGAATCTCCAGAGGTGGACACTATCCCCTGGAGTCAGTCACCCCGCCCTGTAGTTAGTGCCCTGGAAAAATTGCACACATTCATGGAAGCATTTAATGAAAGAGCTCCACGTCTCATCGGGCACGCCTTGTCAAACACTTTTAATGAGATTCTTTCATGTTGCTACCTGCCTGGTACAGGAATGAACGTGAGTTATACAATCAGGAGCCTGGGGAGATCCAATAATCTTATACTGAGTCTGATGCGGCTCAATTATCTTCCAGTTTCATGCCGATGATGAGGTAATCAGGCTAGCAAAGGCCATTGCTCTATTTCACTCTCCGAGATTACTATTGCTGATATCTCACAATTCATGAAGAAAGGTGTCGGTCCCCTAGTCGCAAGCTTGAGTCTGGGATCCGCAGCGATTATGTCATTTAAGCAAAAGCCAGCAAAAACCAAGACGGAGAAATTGTCAGATCAGACATCATTTGACCAGCCCCATGACGGCAACATACCAGAAGCAAAAACAATGTCACCAAGGACGGCCATGAAACTTTTGATCAAACACGGCGACATTGTCCTTCAAGTCGGTCCAGGGCTACAGAGAGATTGGCTTCATGCGGTCGAGACCGATGGATTTAGAATCGGTTTGTCAATTCACTCACGGCTTGGCTAACTTCAAACGCCTTTGACCTTTTGGTTTCCTTTGGATTAACGGCGGAATATCTAGCGGCAACAGCTCGCAATATACGCCCCGAAGTCATGAAACCTTGGTAGCAGTCGCTTTCTTTGGCCCTGCGACGAGTCAACCCATGAAGATGAATCAATCCAAAATGCTTCCATATCCATGAAAATATTTTCATTATCCTGAATTGTTTGGTATGAATACTTTGCAATATATAATTTTTTATTTTTGACAATTTTGTGGTGAAAAGAGACCCCTTTTTGTTTGGGGTTTTTGATTTCTTGATCCGTCGGATCAGGAGCCTGAATGGTGGGACTGGTGTATCTTTTGATGTGGCAAGATCTCACAAGAGACGTTCTAGAAGTGTCACCTAATTCTATACCCATAGCTTCAGGGAAACTATATATTCGATGGTCCCTGACCAGCTTCAAACTTCTTGATATGCAAACGACTTCTGCACAAAATGTGACACTTGTGCATTTCGACCAGCTAACTCACATCACTTAAAACTGTTAGTACCATGGATGGTTGGCTGCAGCTGTGGCATTTTCATGAATTTACATATTGAATTCGGAGTAGGTTAATCATATATTTTGCAGATGAGAAGATCTGGAAGTAGACTGGGAAGGTAGGTTCCAACCATCATCAAAAAATGATTGACGTCGACCAGCCTTTTTGGCAAAAGTAATTTGATCGAGCCTTGTCGCTTCTCAGTCAGAAATGTATGGAGGCTTTGTCTGGAAGCTGAGATTCTGATCTCTCTCGAGGAAAATTCAAGATATTTGCAGAGTAGGTGATGATTTCAACTTCAAAAAAACTAGACTTGAAGGATTACCCACCAATTGACGCCCAAGATGCCACAAATAAGCGCCCCTTGCCACTACCTAAGACCTTAGAACAAGCTACAACACAATTCATGAGACCAGAGAGTAAGGCTCGAATAATTTTAGGAAATGATTTTGTGGAACATTTCGGAAAGACTAGAGTTGATTTCTTTCAAGAGCCTCTCCCTCAATTTGTTGCATCACAGGGCTGACGATAATCAGAATCTTCTCATTTTTTGAATTCAAGGAACACGAATGGAAGTTATACACACAAACTGTGACAAATTGGGAGTTAGAAAGGTGCGTGCAGACCCCATCAGCATTCAAATGTTCTTCATGATGATAAGAATTTGTGGAATTGACCTCAATATTTGTGGCAGGTATCTTGAACTTGCATAGAACGCAAACTTCTCTCAATCCGCGTGGCTTGACCGGTATTGCCCGAGACATTGAACTCAACATGGGCAAAACATGATGCGATAGTCAAAGATTGATCGCCGAGGGCAATGATTGATACACCTTCGACATACACGTCTTTACTTGGCTTAATGGTCAGGACCAATCAAATGCGCGTTGTTGGAATCCTTTTTACTTATGCATTGTGTTGGGGATACAGATGTCAACACGCTCTTAATGTCAGCTATAGCGATAATGGCGAGACTTATACGAGTTGATAGAAGCTTATAAGGTTGTCTGATGAGAGGCCCAAAGCTGTGCCCTTATTGAGATTCTTATCTCCCCTTTTCCGCGACTTCTTTCATTACCTATGTACGTGCCGGATGATCACATTTGCATTGATAATGAGAACAAGTCAAGGTTTCTTCATATGCGTTGTGGTATAGTGGCACTGAAGAGATGGCTCTTTGTTTTGATTGAAAGTCGCGTCACTGGTTTGTGAAGACAAGAATGAATTGCGTCAGATGGATCCACAGTACACATACAGATTATTCTTACAACAAATAGCTCATAGAATTAGTAGAACTGAATGAAAAGCTATGTGCGCTAGTATCAAAGATGATTGAAGCAAGTAAATACCAATAATTTATGCAGTGAATGTTGTGGGTGCGTCTCGCTTGCAAGGTTAGCTGAGCAGATAGATATATTTCTATTGAACATTTCGGTTTGCTCCTGATTAGTGAGGTGCGGGGCTCTATGTAAGGTAGTTTGATCTTTGTGGCCTTTTGAGAAAGCGATAAGCTCGTTAGATGATGTCTTGTGGATATAGAAAGCGTCGTCCTGTGGGCGATGATGATGAAGCGGATATGCAGGCGAGACGTATGGATGGCAAGAGTTTGGTCACTCCGGTTTGCAGGAGGTGGGATGAGCCTTTCATCTGACGCGTTTCGAGCCGACTGAAGCAGGTCATGATGTATGGATTGCAACTGATGGATCAACTGAATGGCTTTCTTATTTGGAGCTATGTAGTGCGCTCAATCGTACTGTATTGTTGAATCCCAGAGCCGCAAGTCTTGGAATGGTGAACGTAGAAAACAAGATAACTCGCTGTTCATGAGAGCATCGGGAGAATGTCAAAGATTATGTCAGCGCAGATTCAAATCTTTCCACTCAAGTTGGAAATTACTGACTGTGCAAAGTGTTCAGCAAGCAAGAGGTCTTCGATGAACTCACTGAACAAGCGAATTGCACTATCACTTTTGCAGTCCAGTGACAATAAGATTTGCAAGATATATCTGATTCTTGCCTCAATTTGTCCCTCGAGATGCTCGAACACAGCAAGCTCACGACGTAAAAATGTTGTTACACGCGTCTTATGTTCAGCAAAATGACGAGTGAATGACGAGGGACAAATTGGCCTGAAACATGTAAACTCGTTGGCGCCGATGTGTTTGGCATAGAGACCATGTCGATAGATGAATTTTCTACGGTCTAGAGATATGAGAGCATGCTTCGTTTCCTGTATCTCCCGTATCTTCGAATCGGATACAGACCTACTAGGCAGAGACGGCTGATGGAGGTGATGAGTGGATGTAGAAGGTTGAGGTTTCTCGGGTTGGAGAAGCGGAAGTGGATAATATCGTTCGTAGTCTGCATTGGGGCTGAGATGATGTAGGAAGTGATCGATGGGACCCAGACAAAGCGGACATTTCCTGGACTTCTGTGACCAGACTAAGATGCACCGGAAGCAGTATTGTGAATGATAGCAGGGTGCGATGATGGTCTGAGTTGGTAGCACAAAGAAATCAAACAAGGATGAGCTAAATGAAAAGCTAGAACATGCATGTTTGGTTGTGAACTCACTCTGTCTTTCGTTTCACTCAAACAAATTGCACATTTCTCAGTTTCGTCTTTGAATTCTTCTTGTCTTGATAAGTTCAGATGTTGTTGAGGATAACTTGACATTAAGCTTCTAATTGGTTTCAGTTGGATTGGTTCACAATCTCGATATATTATTTGGCACAGAGGATGTAGCAAGCGAGAGTGGGTCTGCAGAGCTGTGCGTGCCAAGAGATGGGTAAATGCATGGACGACCGCACTCACATGCTCGCCGCCTAAGTCCGTCATCACTGGCACAACCAAAAGGTCAAGATGAGATATCATTCACCAAGCTTCTAAAACCAGCAAGCTGTGAAGATCAACTAGGTACACATATAATCTAATAGTCCTTTCATCTATTGACTCTTGCAGATATCAGGCTTTTTCATCCTGTGATCATCTGACAGTATTACACACCAGTACCTACTTGGAGAACAATGATTGAGGTGTGGAAACAACCACCAATGAGTTCACATTAAACATCTTGCTTCAATGATGAAGAAGCATGCCAAGGTTAAGAGTTTGAAGCTCATTCCAATGACCTCATCAAGGGAATCAAGGAGAAAAGACTTCAAGCGGAAAGCTTTACTGCGTGGTCTTTAAAATGACCTGCATACATAAATTCCCAAAATTCCTGTACAGTCAGGCTATCTCACCTCAAACTTAACTCAAAAACTCTTTCAGAGCATCTTTTTGTCTGTCATGTCTACCAACAGGGTATCTGTTTGCGTATATGGAGACTTACACCAGCATAAACTTGCATTTTATGTAGTCAATCAGGCAGAATGAGTACTTGTGTATCCTTTTTTTGTTAGGATTGAACGGAAAGAGTGGGGGATTATATCAAAACTTGTCTCAATTTCAAACAGGCAAGTTTATTTTGAATTTATTTGTGTGTCAAGTGAAAAGTAGTCAAGCTGAGATTTAAAGTCAACAATGTTGATGAGAAAAATATTGGGGAGCAAAAATCATTATGTATCCTTCTTTGGTGGGTATTTCACATGGAAAGATACTTATGAAGTGACAGAAAGACAGTAGTGTTTTGTCTCAACTCTGGCTTTATAACACTTAGATCCCTGATCTTCTTGCAACTAAATCCCCGGTCTTGTTCTTAATCTTGAGACAAGTAGTCTGTTGGAGGGTTCAATGAACAGAAAATGTTGCAGCAAGAGATTTGCAGTCATTTCAGAGAATGTGCATTAGTGGCTCTCAAACCTGCCCCGGTTTTCAAAAAACCCAGTTGACCCAGTTGCTTTTTGGCGGTAACTTGTGTATCAAGTTGACATTTGTTGACAGCTCCCAGCCAAAAATTTAACTGGGGCAACCAGGTTTTTTTAGGGGATACAAAGTAGAAAGCCGGGCACGTGCCCGGGCATGTGCCCACAAGTCCAGATCCCAATTTTACAGCCAAAATTTGGGATGTGGACTTCCGGGCACATGCCCGGCTATCTACTTTGTGTCCCCTATTTGAAACTGGGTCAGGTTTGAGAGCCACTATTGTAATACCCAAAAACTAAGCTTACTTGTAAGCAGCCAATATGTCTTCAGATTTTCTTTGAGCTTCAAATTTTGCCTTTCCTGGAACCTCAGAATTATGAAGTGAAACAACTAACTGTATCATTTCTGGCTATAGTGGCTAGTGCCAAAGCCTTTTTTTTGGATGGATACCACAAATGCCCAAATTCAATGTTCTTGCTCAAAACTCAACATTTTGAACATTTGAGAGCAGTTTTGACATCCTCAGCCTCATATCTCTCCATGTGTAGCTTCTCTTGTGCATAGTACCAGTATTAGCAATGTAGTATCCAAATGTCATTTTTGAGCAAGAAACTTGGATTTAGCCAAAAAAAAAAGCAAAAAAACTTGTACATAGAAAAGCTATTCATGTGAAGTGACCAAGCTGAGTGTTCTACAAGTGGTCTAGGAAGCTTGCAATGTTGAGATTTGAGCAAGAGCAATGAATTTGAACACTGGTGCCGAAATTTCAAAAAACTCATCATTTTGACCCAGAGGTGTGACACCAAGTGTAATGTGGAAGTACCACACAACTCCTTGTTTTGAGTCAAAATGATGAGTTTTTTACAACTTTTTCAGTCTTGATCAAAAAGTCATCACTAAGGGCTCATTTTCTGTGCCTTCATTGGGGCTCTCTGAATGTACAATTCAATCATATCTCTGCCATGTGTAGCAATCTTCAGAGCCCCACATGTCTTTCAACATTGCACTGTTTCTGCGTGCTGACTTGCAAGGACATATTTCTTAATAACTTTTTCAGATGTGATCTAATTTCATTGAAAAAGGCCTCATTTTTTCGCCTTGACTGGGGATTTCTAAATGTACCTTCCAATTATGAGTCTGGCACGTGTGGCAATCTCTAGAGCCTCACATGTCCTTGCCATGCAGCTCAGTGACTCACAAGGACTCAATTTGCAATAACCTTTTTGATCTCCATCCAAAAAGCCCAGTGGTAGGCTCAAACTCTCCGCCAATGCTAGGGATTTTGAATAACACCTCCAATTATCATTTCTCACGTGTATGTTAATCAATATATCCACATAATTCTTTACCAATCAGCACTGGCGCACATCTCAGTGCAAGGACCCCATTTGTAACAACTGTTTGGATCCCATTCACCCCTCACAACCGCAGAAAATACATTACTGGTGCAGAATTACTGCTGGCTATGGGTCAATTGTCAGCGCCAACTGCTTCACTGGGGTGCAAGAATTGGGCTACATCCAGGAGCTACAACACAGTTTACCTTTGTAACTCAAGCAAGCAAGGATCTTCCTGACAAACAAAGTGATTGTATCTTAACAAATATCACCCAAGGCCTATTCGAGTTAGCTGAGATCCCAAAGGATTGTTTGGATCTGAAGCTATGGGCTTCTAAGAAAAGAAAGAGCAGACATGAATCAATTGTTGAGGAGATTCATGAGGTGGATGAAAAAGACAAGGAGGAAGATGATCATGATAATAAAGAGGATTGATATGTTTCAAGATTTTTGGTTTTTGTTTTTACTATCTTCATTCAGTTTTTCACTGTCTTTGTTCATGAAACGCACATCATGTTTAGTTGTTCATTGTCCTTCTTGAAATGAAATTGTGCATCAAATCAAAGTCTCATCTCATCTGTTTCCTAATTCTAGAATTAGGGCAAATTCTTTGAAGAATTCATGTTTTTTGTCATTTGATCCTCCACTTAATACAACACAATAAAACAGAAGTGAGATACAAGGCAAGGAAAAAAAATCAATCTTTGAAGACATCAGTTGGCAAAGGTGCTAACAGGCCTTTTGAGAACATGGATGAAAAAAATGTCACAGAAGACAAGAAGAAAACTATAATTTAACTTACAAAGCAGTATCAATCCATATGAAAGCCTTCATAATCAGTCCTAAAATACATCAATAAGTTGAATAAGACAAACAGAGTAGAACAAAAGAAGTCAATTCTTGATGAAATTTCAATCTACTTTCTCAATCAGACATATTACAACTAAAACAGATATTGAGAAACCATGGTTGATGTGTTTGAGATGAATATTGACAATCATTCTTTACTACAGTAATAGTTTCTGATATATTAGTTGAAGTCCAAGCTGTATGATTTGCTTCAAGATGATTTTGTTTACCATCTTGTTTGGTATACCTGACAAGCCAAAAGTGAGAAATCTAAAATCTACTCAGTGATATGCATCAGTTTCAACAAATGCAAAGCAACGACTTACTTGTCAAATAAGTCACACTCTCATCACCTTGAGCATCAAGTCTTTGGTCCATTGAAAACCGACAAGTTTGAGTTTTTCAAAAATCTATCAAAGTTTCCATTGAAGGCACCATTGTTTGATGCTGCAGGGGGGACTGAAAGAGATTCAGCCATCATTGTAGTCCATTGGTGTGTATCTTCTCTGAGTTGTAATTTTGGCAGTTTGGTGGCTTTGTTCTTGGGATGTTTCTCTCCTCCAGGTGGTCAGTCCACAATTGATTCCTTAATCATGATGTGTATGACCTAACAATGTCATTTGCCACAGTAATTTAAGACAAGTTAACAGCTGCCAATTACAAACAAGGGATTAGATGAATACCCTTGATATCTCAATCTAATGTTCTTGTACAAGACTGAAGATTTTGAGCATCCAAGGGCAGTGTAAATGCCATTTTCAGAAAGAAAGTAGCAAGTCACAGAGACAATTGTTTTGTCTGATTTTCCTTCAAACCATCCAAGTCTTTGTCTTCATGAAGACCAATATTGCAATTTGACAAACTTTGTCTGAATGGCTTGGATTGGAACATGTGGCTTATGGGGCCCAAACATATCAACTTGAGGTAATCGAAGACTAGTTAACCTTGAAAAAGAGAGAGAATACAATGATCATGTTACAAAGGTAATACATAAAAGAACACCAACTTAAAGGACAGGTTACAGGTTGGAATTGTAGAGGTTCAACTATAGTGAACTTTGGATGTCATGATTGAGATAAAAACAATCAAAGAACAGACAACAACACTCATATCTATCGCCTCTCCCTACTTTTGGCGCACCTCATACATACCAAGAATCTGAATAATTCTTCATATAAATTTGCTTAAAGTTTTGAAGCACCAGGAGTGATCTTAGGCAATGGCTAGAAAAGATTCAATCAAAACAGAACTCTCATAAGTTTTACAGTTTACAAGAAATTGGAAAGTGACAGAATTAGAAAAGAATCAAACCTGATAATTCTGACGGAATTTATAATCAGGTAAAGTATCTGCTGATCTATTCTTAAGTGAACTGATATCCAACATTTCAGGTCTCAAGTCATCAAGAGTAGGAGCACCAACTAAAGAAACAAAGAATAAGTAATCCGAAACAAGATCATAAGATATTAAGAAACTTTTCACTCAACTCAATCTCATATCCATTTCCAATTCATCTTTCAAAATCTGAATCGCTCTTACCACACCTGGAACTCCATAAGTAGAATAAGCATACAGAAATGGTCTACCGATTCCAACAGCTTTAGCACCTAAACACAATGCTTTTAAAACATCACTTGATCTTCTAATTCCTCCATCAACATAAATTTCAAATTTGTTTAAATCATAAATTGATCGTTTTTTGAATTCTTGGACTACTTCTTCTAAAACTTCTATTCCCGATCTTGCATAATCTAACTGTCTTCCACCATGATTAGAGAGAACGACACCTTGTAATCCATATTCATATGCCAACACTGCGTCCTGAGAGTGCGACACCAACCAACCAAAATCAATGAATTAATTGCTTCAAAACTGATATGTGAGATTTTGAGGAAGATAAAAAAGATGAACTCAACTTCCCAGGTTTGTACACCTTTGAGGATTATGGGTAATTTGGTTATACTCTTGAACCAAGGTATATCATCCCAACAAAGACTTGAATCTATAAAACTACTGATTGCTCTAGTAGCACCTTGTGATTTATCTACTTTTCCAGAAGGTTTTCCACCTTTTATACTACTTTCATTCTCTTGAAGATCAGATCCCAGGGTCTCAAACCTATGAATATCAAAATTCGATCAGTCCAGAGAATAGGAAAAAAAGATGTTCAATTCAATAATCATAGTAAGGCCAAACTCAACTTTAATCTCATATCCTTTTCTCTTCTGCCTAATTGGGGAGCATCGACAGTAATAAATAGAGCTTTGATCCCATTTGCTTCAGCTCGTTTTACTAAAGCTTCAGTTTTCACTCGATCTGCATTCACATAGAGTTGAAACCATTGAGATTGATGCTTCGGATTTGAAAGTTCTAGAAATGGTACTGATGAGAGTGTAGGAATCATCTGAATTACATCTTCTATTTCTGCTGCTCTTGTTAAATTCTTTTCTCCATCAACATGACCTAATTTTCCTAATGCAGTAGCAGTAATATAACTATTTATACCGAGAAAGTGTGTTTTAATCAGTTACTTTGAATAGACCATTTGAAAAGAAGATAAAAAAAGGACTTCACATAGGTATAGAAGTTTTAGAACCTAATAAATTAGTCGAAAAATCAATCTTAGAAACGTTTCTTAAAATTCTAGGACGAAACCAAATTCTTTGAAACGCTAAACGGTTTTCTCTCATTGAAATTTCATCATCTGATCCAGATGAATAATATGCCCATGCTTGTGATGAAAGTTTGGTTTCTGCTAATGATTCAAAATCGTATAAACTTAAACAATTTGATAAAGGTGGTAAGCTTTCAGTTGTAGTTGGATGGGGATTTGGGTTTTTAGCTTTTTCTATTAATTGAAGTCTGTTTATCACGATTCAAGATGACAATGTAAGTATCGGATAGAATGAGATATCTACAAGATAGGAATGTGAGAGGTTGACTTACGCTTTTAATTCACTCGGATCGACTTTCCCTAAATGTTTTTCTTTGGGTAAATATTCTTCTATGGTACCAGGTGGATGAATAGGGTCGTACGCTTCACTTCAGTTTCGAAAGTACGAAGCAAATGTCAATCAAATTGATCCTTATCATCATCTGAAACAATCGATATCAAAAACTTACGTTGCATCTGCTCCAGCGTACTTCAATAAGATCGCTTGACCACCCTTAAGATAAAGAAACAAGTTTGAATGAGTTTGATGTTCTTATTTGTTTTGTTTTGAAAACTCTAACTAAACTGGATGATCCGGTAAGAATTCGGTAACATCAAATGCATGTCCATGTATCACTAGCCAACATGAATCTAAAGTTGAATGTTGTTTGATTTGGTTTGCTTTCAACATTTGTTTTGATAAAACGGTTGATGAGAATTTCTAAAGCTGAGTAGTGATGTGTTGGAAATATTGGTTTTCTTGTTTGTGAATTTGTCTGAAGGATGAGTTCGATGTTACAGGTCATTCGGCATCGACAGCACAACCATTATTTGAACGTCCGCTCTCAATCAGTGCACAAATTAATAAGAACTCAACAATCTCTTATAAGTTATCGAGAACAACCGATAAGTATGCTCAAAAATCTAGTTCACCTATTCATAAACATTCACTCATCAAAATAGTAGGTGAAAACATACCAAGTGTATGTAGTCAAAGAGACTTAAAAATTATCTTGGATGCAATTTGAGATTCTTCACTTTTTGTTCCAAAATGCGCCATTATATCTATGTATGTCTTTCATCGACTCTACCCCTGCATCGATGGGTAGGGTTTACAAAGGGCTCAAGGTCGTTTGGATCTGTACCACCATCACAAAATGCTACATTCGGTTGAGGTATCACCTCTCCGTTACTGCTTTACGTCCCGCTAGTCATGTTCCGAGCCACCAGGATTAGTAATTTCAACGAAGGTGTCCTTGATGAACAACCATATTTTGGAGCAAGACACTCAATGCAAGTTCCTCACAACAGATGGCATACAGATGATTTTAACTATGTAGCCTGTTTAGCAGTGTAAAGACAAACGGACTTGTGTAAAGTTGCTAGTGCTCAACCAACCAGAAAAGTCGGAAATAGAGAAGAAAAAGGCCCTTGTTGCAAGCCCAATGATGAAGAGCTCAGGAAAAATTGGCCAAGGTTTGTGCATCGCAGGGCACAGCGGATGAATATTCCATGGGCGATTCGAGCCACTGTAACCCCATGATGATATCCGGGTAAACAGAAAGTGGCTTGTTACGCTATTAAACAGGGGGATCGTTGGTAAGTCAGGTGATGGTTTCGAGGATACGTATTCACAGGGGTTCACTCACGAAATGGAGCTTGGGCTCTGCAACGCAATTGCCTGTAGAGAGGACCTGTCCCGCGGCATATCGAAACTCGTTTGCAGGAATTCTGGAGAGGTCACCAATTTATTCAATCAGGTTCTGAACAAAAGGCCTGGCACACGACATTGATCAGCTCAAGACTTACAAGCCATCGACCCTTGCGGGCGAGCCATCTGGGTTCAGAACTATTATCTTTGCAAATCAAACGGGACTCGATAAATCAGTTTCATGGGAAAAGCTAGATAGAATTCATGATCAACTCACTGCACAAGTTTTGAACATGGCGCATGAAACTGGCGCGTTTTTCGGATTTACCATGTAGTTACAGACTCTACAGATCGTACAATTAACAAGATGGAATTCAATTAAATCTCGTCAATGGGTGACGAGTCCAATCAGTCTGAAGAGAAATGAGGACTAACTTGTGGCAATCTTGCAAGATTCCCCCGTATTGCCCATTATCTCCTTGACATGTGATGACGTTTTTGTTTTTGTTGGTCCCGTCACTCTGGCTCTGGCGTCTTTGTAATGCGTTACCTTCCTCAGGAGCCCGGGGTTGGGACTCACGGGCGTGACTAAGAACGAGGAAATGTATTGCGAGGATTAGGGGAAGCAATATTATCTTCATATCGATATCAAAACTAGTGATTGCACTGCTAACGAGAATGATCGACTCTGATTGATGACTGACTGACTGGAGCAAATTCAATTTGGAAAAAGGGAAGTGGATGAACAAAGAGAAAAAACGCAAGAAAATAAGAGTTTATATGTACATATGGCTGTCTTCTCTCATGTCTCGCAACTCTAAACTTAACAAAGTCCCGCGCTCGCGCATCCTCGCGAGGCGTCGAGCGAGGGACTTATGCCAAACTTGTACAAACTCATTGCTCTAAACTCAACAAAGTCCCACGCTGCGTCTCGCAGCGTGGGACTTTGTTGAGTTTATCATTGCTCAGGGTTTTGGATTTTGCAGGGAGCGTCCTTTGAACGCTTCTACCGTTTTCCACACCGAGGATTCGGATATGGTCCAAAACAAAAAGTTGTGCGCCGGCCTCCGGCGCATAATGTACATATTTTTTTTCCCGAGGAATGTACTCCCCTCCACCAAAAAATGACTGCAAAGTTTGGTGCTTGAGAGATACATGCAACATGTAGACCGCTGTGTAACTGCTGTGAATCCTTTATATCTCTCTGAAACCTCAAACTTTGAAGAGCTTTCATTTGTGGAGGGGAGCACAATCCTCGGAAAAAAAATATGTACATTATGCGCTGGAGTCAGGCGCACAACTTTTTATTTTGGACCATATCCAAATCCTGGGTGTGGAAAACGATAGAAGCGTTCAAAGGACGCTCCCTGCAAAATCCAAAACCCTGAGCAATGAGTTTGTACAAGTTTGGCATAAGTCCTCAATTGAGAGGTGTCTCACGCTGCAGTCTCAACAAAACTCTGCAGTCTCTCGATCACTCTTGATTGTGAGATTCCACGTCACCTCAGATTTTCCTCTCACAATAGGAAAGGGTTAAACTTAACAAAGTCCCACGCTTGCGCATCCTCGCTAGGCGTTGAGCGAGGGACTTACGCCAAATGTGTACGCTCCATAACCTCAGAGATTTGGGTTTGGCAGGGAGCTTGCTTCAAGTCCTTATAACTTTTTTCACACCGAGGATTTGGATATAGTCCAAAGAGAGGACTTGTGCGCTGATATCTTGCGCTGAGACTACAATTTTTTTTCCCAAGGAAGTTGATGCCTTCTTGCCAAAAATGTGCTTCAAAGATTGGTCTTAGCAGCAAATTTGGACTCGAGAGAGAGGTTACATGTGTAATCCTCTGTTAAGAGCCAATATTTGATGCACATTTTAGACAAGGGGGCGGCACATTCCTCAGGAAAAAAATATGTACCTTATGCGCCGGGGTCAGGCGCACAAGTTCTTCCTTTGGACCATATGCAAATCCTTGGTGTGGAATAAGCTATAAGGGTTTGAAGCAAGCTCCCTGCAAAAGCCAAATCTCTGAGCTTATGGAGCGTACACATTTGGCGTAAGTCCCTCGCTTGACGCCTCGCCAGGATGCGCAAGCGTGGGACTTTGTTAAGTTTAGGAAAGGATGGCTCTGTCACCAGTCTGTGACTGCTTGTGCTCCACTCCAGTAAAAACCCCTACAACTGTTCCTCAAAGGCGCTGACGTTGGCAAATAATCTATGTAGTGATTTTGAATGTCCTGAGGTTGCATGATGCTTGCCTTGAGACAGGTATTGCTTGCCTGCAGACCGGTCTCTGCCCCGGCAGCGAAACGCCTCCAAAAGGTCATTTGGATGATCGACCTTCAGACCGCCTGGGGAACCGAGGCCGGTCTACAGACAGGCCAAACCCTCCGGTGGTGTACTTAGATTAATTGGTTGCATGGGAAAATTTGCCGGAAATTATGTCACCAACACTTGGAAAAGGCGGTCAGAAAAGGGTCTGTCAATGCTGCGTGAGTGGTGTGCCGTGCGCACCACCAACACAGATGGCTCGGATTGAAAAATACGAGGCATCATTGGATATAAACCCTTGGACAGATCTTGTCTGAGGTGTTGATCCAAGGTATCTTTTGGCACAAAAAGATACCTCAGATCAAAACCTTGGAAAGATTCTGTCTGAGGTTTTCAGTTTGATGATACCTTGGATTTTTCAATCCAAGGCATCTATGTTGGCTGTGGTGACTGTGCCACGTTTGTCCAGGTCACGGCGATGCAACTCCTTTGGCGGTTGGATCCCTAAAGAATGAGTGTTCAGGTTTACTGAACTGTTTGATCTTATGTTTACCTGTAACTAGACTTGAGGCGGGCACGCCCGCCCTTGAAATTAAGTAGTGGATGAAAATGTTCAATGCCAGAAAATCAAAGCAGTTGAATTTGATTATTTTTGAATTCATATCAATATAAAAATTAGAGAATAGACTTGTTCAAACATAAAAAAGACATTTTGAGACAAAAATTGAGAGCACAAAAATTACAACTTTATTATTGTGTATAGCCTGTACATGGAGTTTATGAGATGTACAGAGCGAGAGGAAGCGAGTCAGTTTTTATTCGACTCTCAATTTTTGGGGGGTCTCTCAAAGTAGGATTTCAAAATTGAGAGTCAAAAGATTTTAAACTCTCTCGCTAGTGACATTGCTCATTTCCACCTACCACACATGAATACAGTCTAATACAGCGTCATGGCAGTGCAAGGGAAGTGGTCGATATACTGTGACATGCTTGGATAGAAAAGATACGGTTCAAAAAGGTTCAAAATCTTTTGACTCTCCATTTTAAAATCCTACTTTGAGAGACCCCCCAAAAATTGAGAGTCAAATAAAAATTTGCTCGCTTCGTACATCTCATACCCTCCATGTACAGACTGTATGCAATAACAAGGTTGTAATTTTTTTGCTCTCAATTTTTCCCTCTAAATTTCTTTTTCTATATTTGTACAAGTCTAATGTGACCATACAATTAGTGAGATTATTATCATTCATGTAGAAGTAGGATAGAGTCATGCGTCAAGTGATAGTTTATTTAGCAGACAGCAACAGTTTTAGGTTCAGATAGAGACATTATTGCATAATCAATCAAGCAATACAATCCAATTTTTTCTCAAACAATATCCTATATTAATTTTAGTATGAAATCTTTGTAGTTGGAACTTATTTTAACAAATTGGAATTGGGGAAGGAGGGAGTTGGCTTTGTAAAGATGATCAGTTGTTTTGTGAAAGACATGTCCTCTTCATCTAAAGAAGATGTTACTAACACTTAGGGCGTGTTCACTGAAGAAAATTCTGACCAGAAATCACATTCTGTAATTTTTTAATGCAAAAATGAAATATGCACTATTTAATCATATGTCGGTAGTCATTTGCTTTGAAAGAGTCAAGACCAATTGAGCCCTTGAGGTGAACATAGCAAGCTCCAGAGTTTACATCCCAGGATTGTGTTCCCTGACCGGAGTTGTTACTTTATCAATATTTCCCTTGCCATTTGATACAAATCAGGTTCAAAGCATTATGTGTTGATCCATACCCTCCTTGCATCAACATGTTTTGATGCCAAGATCCTGATGCTCCCTTCTTCTCCAGCTCAAAAGATCTCATCACTTCAAGAGAGGGGTTGTGGTGAGCTCACTGGTCATGACTTGCTTCCAAAGGCAAACACATGGATTTGTCAATCACTGGCCAACTTCACGAGGTATTTACTTGCGTATAACAAAGCAACCAAGACTAACCCAACTAGTCCCACTGCAAACATTAAACAACTTCCCCAAGGGGGCAGGAAAAAATGATTGGGAGTATGATTTGTCATAAAATGGTCTATCACTCCACACCTGAGCCATAAAACCCACACTACATATGTGTGGCAGGCTCAGTGAATATGTGGTTATCATGTACATACAGTTCTGCTCAGTTATCTGCTCATCAGGATAACTTATTCATATGTAATACATGCTGTAACTTCTTTCAGATTGAAAAAAGCATTCAAAAGATTGACTACATACACTGACTCAATGTTTTGGTGTGATTGCATCAACTCAACTGCATGTAACACCCGTTCTGTTACTAAGAAATAGCTTCAACAATATTGCCTGAGCAGCTACAGAATTATATGTAGTGAATGTTTGGGAAAAAAAATCCAAAGTCGAAAAAGTTACATGTGGCATAACATGTGATTTATTTATTCTGATGGGCAAAAAACTGAGCAGACCTGTATGTACATGATAGACAACTATTGACTTAGCTTTCTGCACATATGTAGTGTGGTTTTTATGGCTCAGGTGTGGAGTGATAGACCATTTTATGAAAAATCATACTCCCAATCATTTTTTCCTGCTCACTTGGGGAAGTTGAATGATGTTTACAGTGTCCTACAAACATTTCTCATGAAAGTCTCATGAATGTTTCAGTGTGGACATATAAACCTGAAAATGAGACAAGCAATAGACCACCTTGATTGGATTCAAAGACATTTTCTTCAACATGTCAACAATACTTGACCGCCTGTTGTAACATAGGGTAATGGGATGTTGCACTCAGCAGAAATTGATGGTCTTAAACAAAGGTCTGAAAACCCGAGATCAGACATTGATTTTGCACTGTCACTGTCACCGTCACTGTCTGAGGACCTCAACAAAGGCAATTTTGGCTTTGGTCATGAAAACTGTTTCACGGTCTGGTCCAGCTTTTACAACAACTGTTTGGTGTGTGCACATCGCCATGCCACAGAGTTTTGGACACAGTGATAGAATCATGAAACTCAGCTTCATCACAACCATCTTGTTGGAATCCATATCATTTAGCCAAGCCTTTGGTTCAGTGACTGAAGGTCTCAAGAGTGAAAAAGAAATGATATCAGCTGATGGGGCTGTAGTGAAACCCATTGATGCGCTGGCCAAGCTCAGACAGAACCTGATGATGTTTCAGGATGTGTACAATGCTATCTACATGGATGGAGAAAGTGCTTGGACCACAGCAGTCAAACATCATCTTGATGTTCAACCGGGACATGGGTGGTGTGAAAGTGCATGTAAATCACTCACTGAACCAAACACTTGGCTAAATGATATGGATGCCAACAAGATGGTTGCAACAAAGCTGTGATTCATGATTCTATCTAAGTGGTTGACTAAACTTTAGATATGGAAGATTGTGACAAAGATTGGGGTGAATATCTTAAGACTTGTCAGGATTCTAAAGCAACAACATGTGGAATATTGTGTGTGGGTTGGGTCCAGATGAAACTGATAGTATCTTGGCCAATTAAAAGGGTAAAGTAAGGGACCATAAATTATCAGAGAATTTGAAGGGTCTTGAACTTTTCTCGCCGGCCCGCCAGCCGCTAGCCATTTCACATTATTTCAAACATTCACAGTATTTGAATGTCACTGTGTGTCACACACCTTAATCCTCCCAACTGTGTGATACCAAGGATGATGAAATACATCTCCAAATCCTTTTCGGTTGCCTTGATCCTTCACTCCTTTAAAAAAACATGTATCAATGAGGGTGATGGTAGTCAGGGTGAAATGGATGGTCTACCAAAGGTGGAGATCAGAATTGGGAAGACAATTAGCCGTGTTGGTCCTTTGGTTTTACTAAGTGCTTCTTGCAAGACTGCCAGCGGTTGGGAACTTTTCACTCTATGCTACTGGAGCAGTGGCAATCAACACAATTTTAAATATGACTGTCTTTTTGAATGTGATGGCAATTGGGATCACAGAGGATTTGTCATCTGAGAATGGCGGAAGGATTTATCCATACTTGATATTGATCTATGTCTTCTTTCAACAATATCTTGACATCCAATCCACTTCTTTGAATGGATCTTCCATGCACTTTCTGATAAGTTACCATTAGTAATAGCCTTTATGAGTACATTATTGGTTTTGCTCAGAAATGGTACATCAAAACGTCCTCAACTTGTGATGTTGATACTGGTGTAGGGGATGATCAACAATGTTTGATGAATGACCTTTGCCATCTTTGCCATAATGAGATTCTATGTGAGCTTGTCAATACGCTTTGATACATGGCAGCACTTTATGGGAATATTTCAATGATATTATATATGAAATGCTATGAAATGTACACTGCGGTGTCATACGTACTGGCCAGCATCCCGCGGGCCGCAATCCGACTTGAACATTTTCACAGGCCTTTGAATGCTCTCTCAATTATGAGCTTAGTTCATGTTTTTGACAAAATCTACAATTGGCTGATGAAAATTGTTGGAAAACATACCCAGGCAAGTGTGCAGGTTCAATGAACAACTCAGTAGGATGGCTGGATAGGCAGCACATCATCAGCAAATCAGTTGAACTTTTACATTTTTTGTAGACTGTCTGAGTTGCTGTCCGTCCAACTCTTCCCAACCATTGCATCATTGAGCATAATGCTGTGTTCTTTTCTGCAAGCAAGAGTAGCAGGTTTTGAATGCAATAAGAGACTAGTCTCTGCCTTTTTCACGTTTTGGTGTACATGGATTTAGTTTTTCATTGTAGAGAAGCTCATTGTTTTGTAACAGCTATGCCCTTTGATGCTTCACCACCTTTTTTTGCTTCCTGCTTGGATTGCGTAGATTGATTGGTGTTTGGAGTCTCCTTTTCTTTACATAAAAAGTGCCATGGTGCATGGAATACACAGAGGTATTTTATCACCGCTGCTACAAAAGGTAAACCTTTATGTACAAGTGTTGGTCAGCTTTTCTGCAATCGAGAGTATCAGGTTTGACTGCAATAAGAGACCAAGAAAGTGCCATCACAATAGACCAAGTAAATCAGTTCTTGATTATTATTTACGCAACCTTTATGTGATTGTCAACCTTATCTGCAACAGTACATGGCCATCCCCACTCGCAGGATGTGCCACACACTATCTGTGTGCATAGAGGGCTGTGATTAAGTACTTACATACATAGACCGGTTGACTTGTATGACATCAACTGTACATATTAGGTGTTGAATGTAATAAGAGAGCTGTGTCATTGCAATAGAGCCTGAGAGAGTATATCAATTCTCAAACAATATTGCACAAACTGCATGGGGTCATCAACCTTATCCTTGAAATTACAGGACCATCCCTGCCACACATGCTGTAACACAGTCTCTGCTTGCGTAGAGGGATGTAGAGGTTCAGCACCATTTTTGTCAGCCTAACTCTTCAAATTGATGACGAATTTGAAAGAGCAGGGTGAATTTTGTTACTCACAAAAGTTATATCTTTGAAATCTAAATAGACTTATCTATAAATTCAAGAAGTAGCTTTATATTCTTGGCAAGCAATCTGTAAAAGTAAGAAACAATTGTTAGTTTTACTGTCTAAGGTGCAGGATGGTTACTGCTGCCAGTATGTTCAATGCACTCACGAACAAATCTTCTTAAATTGACCACTAAGAACAGCGGTTATATTTAAGGCTTGCTTTGGCAGTGGTCCAATAACAGTTTATCGGAAAAAGAGGAAAAGATTAGAGAATTACTGGTCAACAAGAACTACCAAGTTGATCTACAGCAAAAACTCCTTTAGATAAATATGAAAATAGAGGAAAAGGAACTTGTTTGAAAGTATGAGGGAGTTTATAAGAAGAAAAGTAGTATCTAAGATTCTGATTGTATAACGGTCTGGGATTTGATCAAGTTGTAAGTAAAAAAAGGTATTTGTATTTAGCTTTAGTTTATAAAGTTTTGTTACGATAAGTTTGGTGTGTGATAAGGGATAAAGATCCTTTTGTACTTCGAGAATAGCCTATCTTTATACCTTTGAAAATATATATTGTTATAATTCTTTGTCCAGGGTTCAAATGTTGAGTTTGCCTAGTTTCTCGCTATTGCCTTGTTTCATTAAGTAACGGTCGTTACCGCCTCTTTTAATTCAGCTTGGTCAGGGTTTGAAATCTTGACTGGGTTTGGTCTGAACCCCTTTTTTAGTTTGTGCTAGTCATAATCATGTTATGCTGTCATTTCTAATTATGATCTCTTTTATTCTAAATGCCTTGTAATATATCTTTATATATAATTTTTTTGGTACACTCTTGATACTGAGTGATAAGTGTTGTATGTATTTTATTCTAAGGGTTCAACCCAATATATATTCTTGTTAACAAGCTAGAGGTTCTGCTCCGCAGAACCTCTTACAGTTGACAATTTTTCATGTCATATGAGATGTTGGTTTGGGATAGCCTTGGTCAATTGTCAGATGGTTAACTTGATCATATTAAGTTGGTGTAATGTTGGTGGATATAAGTCTGTGAATAAATTGGTTACAAAATCCAAGGACTCCTTGTATTTTGGTGTCCCAGCCAAATATGTTGGCCTAGTGCAATAATTGAGATCTTCTTTTACATCACTGCATCTGTGAAAGAATGTTATGACATCACTATGTATCTTGATTTCTCTTAAAATACCTTTTTAGATTTAATTTCTGTTTTCCTTTTTCTTAATCCAACTCATAAATTTTTTTGGTCAACAATCTTCTTTTGTATGTTAAATACTCTGTGATCAATGTGTGCCAGGTGCCAGATGATTCAGAAAGCTAACAACTTGAAACACCACAGGTGTAAGCTGGATTTCTTTAAATGATTAGTTAGTTAAAAGAAATCAAACTCATAAATTGTTTTGGTCAACACTCTTCTTTTCTCTTAGATTGTTCAATAATTCTTGAGCAGTGTGGGTTAGCTAATTCACAAAGGTATACAACAACTTGAACAACCACCAGTGTAAGTTGTATATGTTTAGATGATTAGTTAGTTAAAAGAAATCAAATTCATAAATTGTTCTTGTCAACAATCTTCTTTTCTCTTAGATTGTTCAATTCTCTTTAATAAGTGTGTGTTAGCTTATGTACAAAGCTAACAACTTGAAGTTGAACAACCAGAGGTTATTTGTTCTTTTACAATTTGAGTTTAAACTTTGGACTGTCCTGCCCGTGAATTTCACTTGATTGATCATTACTGCGGCAATTCAAGGAATAACTGGCATATGTTTCAGGCAGGGCCACTCATTCTTGGATGGGTATCAACTTGAGATTTTGAGGAAAGGTACAGATTGTTTTGAGTAAGTAAGTAATGGTTGGGCCTGAGTTCTGATGTATTAACCTTTTTGTTTATGTTGAATGGCCACGCACATTCCCAGTCTGCCACCTGATACTATATAGGGAGAAGGGAAGATGATTGCAATTGAGGAACAGATCTTCTTAAAAAGGACTGATGGGTCAAGAAGGTGTAAATTAACCATGAAAATGACTTAGTGGGGCCAAAGAGCTGCTATGAGATGGATTCCAATACACAAGGACAATGGATCTATCCAGGACCCCAGAATGCCATTGCTAAAGGTAGTCTAGTAGAAACATCAGACATCCACCCCTGCCAAAATTTCAAGTCCCCTCCTCCATTCACCCATAGATATAGGGGAGGCCTAATTTCCTTGGACTTTGTTAGGCCTTTCACAGTGTTTCACAAGTCCTTTTGCAACTCTGAAACTATCACAGGCATACAAAAGACTTTGACTTTATTGGCTAAAGTAACTTGCCACAATTTATAAGTCCCTGTCAAAGACTTGCAAGGCTGGCAAGGGCTGGCAATAACTGAAGTCAGAAATGTGGTTTTAATTAGAATGGGTATAATCCCATTAAGCGTAGCTCTGTAGGAGCTCAAAAGGTATGTTTCTACTAGAGTACCTTTATTAGGGGCATTCTGGGGTCCTATTTCTCCATGGTGAAAAATGATTGAGACTGGAATTTTGATGGTATGCTTCATATTGGTCTGAAAAATATGAAAGAATCAGTTAAGTCAAACTGTGCTACTTTTGGCCTCTTGGAAATTTTTGGCTGACATCAAAAAATGCAAGCACTTAGTTTAGTAATTTACAAGCTTTTTTATGACAGATAAAGATGCAGGACTTGGTCACCAAATTTAAAAGCACCAGTGTCCATGATTGGCACAAACAATCCAAAAAAATGACAAGTAAAGGACAATATCCCCTCTGTTGAACATTTTTTGGAGGATTTTTCTGGATAAGCATGTAATTCATCACATGTGATTCGTTGAAACTGTATGGCAGCTGCTGACCCAATTTACATTTGCAATACATGGGTCAAACTGATAACAA